AAAAAAAAAAAAAAAAGCGAAAAAATACAAATTTTCAGATCGAGATTTCATTCGAGAATGAAACAATTCTAGAGCCAAAACAGGAAATAACCATTGGTGTTGAACATAACCGTGATACAGCTTTACTTCTAAAAATCTTTGATTATCGTATGCTTTTACTTTCAAAGGTATTATTTCAGTACTGACTTTTTTTTTTGCAATGCTTTATAATAACCAAAAAAAAGCTGATTTATTTATTTTTTTTATTTGATGCTGTTTCTCTTTAGAATTTGTTACGTCGTTCTTTACATCGTTTTTGGGACTTTTCCTACTTTGAAAACCCTACAGAAGAAAGCAGTAATCAAGCACACTTATTAAATTTTTTGGAACATAAAGATTTGAGAAAGGCATACGGTAAGTATGATTTTTGTCCCAACAAATTCGACGTAAAATCTCAGAATCTATAGCTACTGTACTGATAATTTTAGTTATGTCTGCAGTTAACAATCATTTGATTGCCAAGTGATTTTGAAGAAACAAGAATTACTTATCAAAAAATTTTTAGTACGAATACTTTAAGCGTTTTTTTTTTTTTACAGAGGAATCATGTCATAGTGCCGGCTGTGCACTGAAAATGACTGATGCAGTACGTCCGCAGTTTACATTGACTGCATCGGTAGTTTCGAATAACTGTTTGGAACGTATGATGAAAGGCTATGCTCCATTCTGTCAAAGTTGGCTCTTATAAATTAGCATTTTATTAGTTTTGACAACCAACAACTAAGACAGTCTGCAGTATAGAGAAGGTATTGTTTCAGAACTTCGTACTGGACAATCTCAAAAAGTTAAACTTTTAAAAGCATCTGCAACTCCTGCAAAAAGTACCAAAAAAGAGGATATGGTTGTCTATGCTCCAGCTCGATTAGACTATGCAAGAATCTCCAGTATATCAACAGTGTCTGAAAAGCAAATTGAAATTCGGGAATTCTTTCCCGAAGTATGGTGTTTCAAAGATTTCACGCTAAAGTAAGTAAATTCTTGAAAAAAAAAACAGTTTTATTTTATTAACAATTTACAATAAAATTTAAAGACGCCACTTTACAAGATTATCAATATTTACTACAAATGTAAATTAAAAAAATTACTCTTAATGCCATTCCCAGATATTCATTTTTTATAACTCATCACTAATAAATTAAAATTTCTAGAGCTTTTTTTTATTACGGTTTTTTTTTTTATCTTATTGTGGTTTTTAATCCTTTATATCCCACTGATTATTATCTTTTTAAAGAGCCAACCAGCATACAAACATCACATTACAAGCACCGGATAGTCTTAGTATGTGGACGCTAGAATCAGTCTACTTTGTGCCGCAAAACGATATTTGTTCTGCAAAACAAAACTTTATAACCACATCAAAAAATTGTTTCTTGACCGTTCATTTTCCTCAACATGTTTACGTTAACGAGACGTTTATTGTTGGTGTTGATGTTTACGACGAAGATGCCAACTCAGATGAGGAGGCAAAACAGGTAAAAACAACTCAATTGACCGGTAACAAAGTTTAAATTAATTGGGTACAGACAGTTAATAAGAGATCTGTTCGAGAAATTAAGACAATTTTTTGGTTGAATAAATTATGTCTCATCACTAATAAAGTGTTAAAAGTGAAAATTTTTACCTGTGACAACGCTTTATATTTCACATACTTCTCTATTCACATCAATCAAACTATTTTAGAACCTTAGCTTAAACGTCAAAAATTTTGTTCTATTACTTATTTTCAGTACTATGTTACGGTACGTGAAATAGAAAGGTATATTTGTGTCAGTGGACCAAATCAAGAATCAGGTTCAGCACAGTATTATTTGGTTACAATTCCAGAAGGCAAAAAAATCGCCAGAAAAGACTTTTTTTTAAGGTAAATTTCAGTAGAGCCAAAAAATACCTACTTTTTCTTCTTTTATAACATTATATTCTTTTCCTTCTACATTTAAATTATTTATCATAATTTAACGCTAATTATTTTTTTGCTGTAATACACTAATTTAGAGTAAAGGCAAAATATGATAGTTTAGTGAACAAAGTGTTTACAACGGTTTGCAGATAAAAACTAATTGCTGTAAAAATTTTCTAGGTAGCTAAAAAGAACGTGTTTGGCTAATTATTTAAAAGCTTTAAGTTATACTTACAGTTTTTGTACTCGGCTTTGCAATTTTTA